AACATGTTCTTTTAAACAGAATATAAAAGAATCTTCATGAGAACTATGTCATATTTTTTTCATGTAAAAACCAGTGGCCACTATGTGAGAGCAATGAATAAATCTAAGTGGTACAAATTAACCAAAATTAAGCTATAGCTCTGTTTAATACTAAATTTTAATGAATAGGCTGCTATTTAACTTTTAAAATAACTAGTTGAAATTATGCTCTTATCTTTGACTTTGAAACTTTTATATAATCTTTGATATGCAATCAATGTTGACTTTGGTGAAAAGTGCTGAAAACACTATTTCACAAAAGAACAAAAGAGTAAATGGAAACTGTAGATTCTATTGCCTGATGAAAATAGACATGTTAAGAAATAAGAATTCTCTTAGACTCTTCAGATAAATTCATGTTGCATCATTTTATTTGCTTTCAAGTTACTGAGATCATGTTTGGCAAGACCTGTATCATTAATGCTGTGTTAGGAAGGAAAAGATTATGACTCCTTGTTTTGCTTTTAAGATTGAAAAGTTAAACTCTAAAAAGAATGTATTTTATCCTGTAAACAGCAGTATCAGGCTATAGACTTTGTCTTCTGAAGCCAGTGAACTTACATATAGCAAAGAACTTTATAGTGCTCCCATTTCTTGACAAAACCTCTCGAGAAGCTCTTGATTGAAAGTCTTGGCTTTCATAAATCTGGCAACTTTCATAATAGTAGATTTTCATGACAAATCGTCTTGCACAGGCAATTATCAAGGATTGGCACTTGAAACGGTAGAGTACTTTCACAACAACAGATAAGATTTCTTTCAGGATTGATGACAGTCTTGCACCCCAGTGCATACTGATGAAGAGAGCAGTGGGTGACAGTGACACAGAGAGCTTCTGTCTTTACCAGTGCCCCAAAATCAAATATGTTGTCTGGCAGTAAGGTGTACTATCTGCCTACAGAATACTGAGGTTTCTTCAGGAGAAGTTTTTTGGTAAAGAAACTTTACCATTTTGAAAGTGTTCATGTTTTCTGAAGTTTCTAAAAAGGACTCCAAAATGGGAATGTTTTCTTGATTGTGTCCCATGTTTGTATTTGATGAAAACTAGTAGCTCATATCTGAAGAAAGGTGGTACTTTTAGTCTTCCTACTTCATTTTTTTTTAATATCGGCGTTTTTGGTGGGAATGGATAAAAGTATTTGATAGAGGTACTGCAACAGTCTTTTCTGCTTCATGCTCCAAATATGTTTGACTCTTTCTAGGATACTGGCCTTCACCCGTTCAACTGTGTGACATTTTAATTTATTTAGTATCACAATCAATAGCCTGGTAGGGTGATTTAATCAAGGATTTTTAATTGGAACAAATAGTTTTTGTAATGGTCTAGGCTTTTCCAACTAAACTGTGCTCTCACATGTGGCTTCTTTTTCTCCCTCTTCCCTCCCTCTTATACACTTCCACCCACACACATATGCATACGTACCCTGTCTCATGTGCTGCTTCTTCAGAATAGTTGGCTGTGCTCTGCTGATGGTGAGAACTTGCCGCTTTAAGAAGGACTTGGGATAGTCCATCTCATCATGTTCAGGGATGAAAGTAAAACCCAAGGATATTTAAACTTTATTTTCTGTTTCCAGTCCAAATTAAATCCAAGAGAAGTCTCCATAATAAAAAATTTGCCAATGGGAAGATACTCTCGTCATCACAGCCTGGTAATACTATCAATTCTGTTTCTCTTCAGAGTTCAGGAAAAAATATTTGATGAAATTGTAAGTCCTGTAGGATGTTATGAAGTAGGGCCAGAATGAAAGATAGCAAGAAAAGTAGTTATGAAAATAAAATGCAAAGCTTATAGTATTGTGTGGTAAAATGTAATAGTACCTACTTCATCAGTAGAACCGCTCTAGGCATCTTCTCCATCCTTTGTGTAGATTGGAAGATCCCGCAAGTGAAAGGAGATGATGGGCAAATAGTAAATAGAAAATGGAGATCTGTACATGTAGTGTTAAGAATGTAAGTAGTAAAATTGTTATGTTTCACTGTTACATAATATTAAGACTCAGAGTTAAGGAATTTCACTGAAGTTGATCACTTTTTTTGTATCTTGGAGTCAAAATAAATAAATCTACTATACTTGGCTCATGCTTAATTAGTATACTTGGACCATATTATGGATGAATTATTCACAGGATCTAAAGGAGTATTCTAATGTGTTCTTACCTTCTTTATCCCTGTGTTTATTTAAAAAGGCAAAAAAAAAAAAAAATTGTAGGAGCAGATGCTGTTGACCATATTTTACCAAACAGTAGCATTTGTGTTTTGACTGAAACAGCATTAGAAAACTAGATATGGATAAAAGTCAATGGTAGGTTTGTTTTTTTCTTCCAGGAATATTTCTTATAGATGATCAAAGAGGCCCAGAAAGGGGAAGTGTTGCAAATCAATATTAATCCAGTTAATAATAGCATTCATAGTAAAATTTGAATCCTCTGATATACTGTTAAATTTCTTTCTACACTATCAAATCCGCAAATCCTGGAACTGCAAAAGAATTTTGAGACTGTTCAAAATAATTAATCTCTGTACAAGATCAGGCTCTCTTGCAAGGTTATGTAATGCTGATGAAATTAGTCTATTTTGAAAGGCTCCTCAGCTTTTACCCTTTCTTACAAATGCCAAATCATTTAGTGACCCCCGATTTAAAGAGAATTTGGATAGATTAAGGTTGTTGGTTTTGGAAATATAATACTGTAGGCTTCTGTAAAATATTTGAAATGTCATTGTTTTAAAACTTTCAAAGACACCACTTGTTTGCCTATTGGTTAGAATGCTAGTGAAATAAATTTTAATCTTTTATGAATAATTTCATCATAAGAAAACTTAGCTAGGTAAAGCTGTTATACAGCTATGGAATTCTTCCTGAGAAGTAAATATCTTACATATAATTGATTATCTAAAGTAGTTTCCTTCATGGAATATCTGATAATAGGTTTATCCTTCTCTTGTCAGTATTTCCTTGTAGGTTGAGCCTGTGGATTTGCGTATTTTTAATTGTGAATCACTATTACAGGAGATACATACATTTTATCTACTTTGCAGTTTGGGATTAACTTTATTAGAATTATCTTTAATAAATGGGATTAACTTTATTAGAATTATCTTTAATGTTATTTTGCTTATATCCTTAACTTTATAGACAAACATTAAGAAACTAGAGAAAATTATGTTCTAGTGACATTTATATAGAAGAATAATCTTTTTTTCCCCTTCTTTTTCGAAGAGAGATGAGGCAGTCATCATATTTTTGTAAAGAATTTGTAGACTTTGCAGAGCTCTCCTCATAATAATCTGGCTCAGAGTCTTGGCATATCCTCAGCAGATGTGGTGCAAATTAGATGGCAGAGTGCTGGGTACAAGTTGACCGTAAAATAAGGCATTAGGTTAGTAATGCTCAAATAATACTTTGGGTTTTGAGTGTTACAGAGAAGTCAAACAACTGATACTTAATATAAAGAAAAATGTTCTGAGAGTGAAATAACTGCTTGAGGGAAGGAAGGCTTCTTCTATTTTTTATTCACGAATTTACAGGAAGACAATTGTGTTACACTTCCTTAGGAGTCATCCATTTGTGTATTTGTTACTTTGGCTTTACAAACATGCGACAGATTATTAAAATGCAAGCTGTGAGTGGTTTTTTTCTTCCAAGAAAGCATGCTGCAGGGCAACTTCTAGGGTTGGTTCTAATCTAGTCCTATGCTCCCACACAATGTGCATCTGCACTTAGGTTTCAGTATTAGATAGCTCACATGTTTATTTTAAACTATGAAGAAAGAGTTAAAACATCCTGAGAATGCTAGTAAGTGTGTATTTCAGAAGGACTCCCAAAATTTGAGTTTAAAGAAGTAAACTCCTGTTACATGACAAAGTTACTTAGAATCACTGCTGTTTCCCTCTCTTTGCCTTACCTTCTCCCTGTCCCATACATACTCCCAACTGTGTTCCAGAATGGTGGCACATAAAGTAATAAATATTAATTTCCTTTTTTTTTTTTGAAACAGAGTCTCACTTGATCACCCATGCTGGAGTGCAGTGGTATGATCTCAGCTCACTGCAACCTCTGCCTCCTGAGTTCAAGTGATTCTCCAGCCTTAGCCTCTTGAGTAGCTGGGATTACAGGTGCACACCATCATGCTTGGCTAATTTTTGTATTTTTAGTAGAGGTGGGGTTTCGCCTTGTTGGCCAGGCTGGTCTTGAACTCTTGATTTCAAGTGATCCACCTGCCTCGGCCTCCCAAAGTGCTGGGATTATAGGCATGAGCCACTGCACCCGGGCCCTTATTTTTTCTTTGGTTAAACTTTTAGGAAAAAAGTTTGAGCCGCTTTTAATTTTGTTTCTGTTTATAAATAAATTATTAGAGATAAACTTTTTGTATATTAGGAACTCTGTGTATATGAGTTCATTGAGCATATTAATGAGGATAAATCTTCTAGAAATAATAGTTGTTAACTTTAAGTGATCTAAAGAAAAGGAAAATTTTTAGTTTTCTGGGGAATGAATATTCATGACCTTATCTTAAATGAGGTTATTTTTTCTAGTCTGTTTACTAAATTTCTACATATTGTAACCTAATGAAATTTTATTTCCCCTTTATTTAAAACAAAACTATAATTACTGTCTGTTAAAAAATCTTCCCATCTAGCATTCTTATTTTTCCTAACACATTAATTTTCCTGGGCCAAACCGTGTTCCTATGATATGCATTATTTAAGGCTGTTATATAATACAATAAAGTTGTAGAACTTTCATACCTTGAAGAATCTTAGCACTTATTTAATTCAGACTCATTCTAACATAGATGATAAAACAGATCTGCAGGGTTGGGCACAGTGGCTTATGCCTATAATCCAGGAGTTTGAGACCAGTTTGGGAAACATAGTGAAACGCTCTCTCTACAAAAAATATGTATATAAAAATAGCCCGGCATTGTGTCACATACCTGTAGTTCCAGCTACTTGGAAGGCTGAGGTGGGAGGATTGCTTGAGCCTAGGAGGTTGAGGCTAGAGTGAGCCATGGTCACACCACTGCACACTAGCCTGGGTAACAGATTGAGACCTTGTTTCAGAAAACAAAACAAACAGATCTACAAAGATCAACCTGTCTTAAGTCAGTCATATAATCTCTTTGTATAATAACTCAAAACACCATCTTCTCACCTCAAACCTGGTGCTTTTTTTTTTTCTTTTTTTTAAAAAATATGTTCTGTCCAAATTATTTTATTATTTTGATTCCTAAAATAGAAATAGAAACTAAGAAAAATAAAAAGCAACTCCTTTATAATATATGAGGACTTTTTCAGTTTCAAATCAGAAAAACTCAACTCAGAGTACCTTAAACAAAAGGAGACATTTATTCACTTACATAACCTAAAAGCTCTGACCTGGATTCAGGTGCTCAACAGATCTCAAGAATATTTCTCTTTTTCTCTCTCCCTTCCTTACCCTCCTCCTCTTTTCTCTCTTCTATATGTATGTTATTTTCAAACATGCTCCCACAAGTAGTGGCAATATATAGTTCCTAATAGCTTCAGGTTTACATTCTGCCTACTTTACCAACTATGATGGGAAGAGAGCTACAATTGGAGCAAAAATTTTTAGGGTGAGTTCTGATTTCCCTGGATTGAGGCACATGCCTATTCCTGAACCAAATATTCTGGCCAGGGAATGGAATTCTCTGGGACATGTGTCTAAAGCTGATGTATAGAACCTGCCACCCCCAACACAGGGATAATAATAGTTTTCCAAAGAAAAGTCAAGGAGGAGAAAGAATGTTGGAAGAGAGAAAAGTATCAGTTGTCTGTTTCATATTTTTTCTCAACAATTCTGTAGATCATCTACAACTATTTAGTGTATAGCTTACGATATCATAGAACTGAAATACTGTAACACTCTAAACTTTAGATTATTTGTAGACAGGAAAAATAAGAGATCAAAGAAGCTGTGACTTTATTCAAATCACATAGTTTCAAATCACATAGTTTGTATACATGCTGTTAATAAAACCCGGGATACCCGAGTACAAGTTTTAGCCTTATATTCACATTGAGGTCCAGTTCCTGGTTTTGAATGAGATAATTATGCATAGTGGGACTGTTTTCTGATCCACAAAATAGAGATGATAATATTTATCTTGTAAAGTTGTGGTAGTATTAAAGATACGTATAAATGTTGGCAGGTACCTTAATAGATGGTAACTACTGCTGTATGTTGTCATTGTAATAAAAGCCGTATTTCTTCCTTTGTTGAATTGTTTCCCTTTAGTAATCTTATTGTGATCATTCTGAAACACAGATTTCCATTGCTTCTTCAAGCAAACACCATTATGTTGAAACATCTGCATTATTTCTAAGTTTAGCAGTACCAGTGGAAAGTTTACTGAAGTAGAAAATTACTTTTTTAACTGAGGAGTGTAGATTGTGAATTCATCTTAGAGAAGATGATCTGAATATTGATGCCTAGAATATGAACAAAACATTACATATCTTGTGCTATGATATTAAAGTAGTATCCTGTTCTGGTAGTAGTATGGCAGTATTTTAGGCCTGAAAGATGTATATAATCTGTACTTTAAAGTCTGTTTTTTAAGAGATTAATCACAAGAGATTTACATAAAACAAGTAAGATTAAAAATAAATGGTGGATTAGAGATACATCAGGCAAATTTAAATTTCAAAAGCAGATGACAGGGTCTCAATATCAGAATAGCATTTAAAGCAAAAAGCATTAAACTGGATCAAAAATGTTATTTTACATTACACGGGGTGCACTCCAGGTGAAAACTTAGCAGTTATGAACCAATATGCTAAGGATAACATCAAAATGTATTAAGCAAAAGCTGAAAGAAATGAAGAATAGTTGGTAGAAAAGCAGTGATAGGAATTTTTAATGTACTTCAAAACTCAAAAAGAAGGTACAGTCATGTACCACATAATGATGTTTGAGTCAGCATCTGACCTCATATGTGACAATGGTCCTATAAAATTATAATGGAACTAAAAAGTTGCTATCACCTGGTGACGTAGCCATTGCAGTGCAATGTATTCACTCACGTTTGTGGTAGCGCTGGTGTAAGCAAACTTGCTGTGCTGTCAGTTGTATAAAAAGCATAGCACAGTTATGTTCAGTACGTAATACTTTATAATGTTAAACGAATGCTACTAGTCTACATATTTATAGTACTATACTTTTTTATTATTTTAGCATGTACTCCTGCTTGTTTAAAAAATGTTAACTATAAAACATTCTTTAAGCAGATCCTTCTGGTGGTATTCCAGAAAAAGGCGTTATTGTCATAGGAGATAGCAGTTCCACGGGTGTAATTGCCCCATAAGACCTTCCAGTGGGACAAGATGTATAGGTGAAAGACAGTGATATTGATGAACCTGACCTTGTAGAAACCAAGGCTAAAGTGTGTGTGTATTTATTAGTTTTTAACAAGAGTTTATAAACAATAATAATAAATTTAAAAATAGAAAAAAGCTTATAGAATAAGGATATAAAGAAAAAAATTTTGTGTAGCTGTGCAATGTGTTTTAAGCTAAATGTTAGAGTCAGAATTAATTTTTTGTGTTTATAAAGTGAAACAGTTATAAAATGCTAAGGTTAATTTATCGAAGAAAGAAAAAAAATTTTTAAATAAATTTAGAGTAGCATGTTTATAAAATCTACAGTAGTATACAGTAATATCCTAGGACTTTACATTAACTCACCACTCACCCAGGGCAACTTCCAGTCTTGCAAGCTCCATTTGTGCTAAGTGCCCTAAACAGGTGTACTATTTTTATATCCTTTATACCATTTTTACTGAACCTTTTCTATGTTAGATACACAAATACCATTGTGTTACAGTCACCTATGATACTGAATTCAGCAGTATGCTGTACGGGTTTGTAAAGTAGGAAGTGTAACATAATAGCCTAGGTGTGTAGTGAGCTATACCATCTAGGTTTGTGTAAGTATATTGTATGATACAATGATGAAATCACCCAGATGCAGTTTCTTTTAAGCAACACAATACTGTATATAGGTGGCTTGAATAATAAAATAATGAAATGTATTTTTTCTGTCATTCATAAAACAGTTACCAATCTTACGAATTAGATCAACTACAAAACAAAAATCTCACTCAAAAATCAAAATTTATAAGTTCTATTTCTTGATTACAATTCATTAGAACTGGAGTTTTTTTTTAATGTTCAAATTTATATGGAAATATAAAACCATGTTTTAAATAGTTTTTGATTCAATGAGGAAATGTAAACTTACATTAGAAATTAAAATTAATAAGTAGAGATTTATAAAGGCAAAAATGTATCATTTGAACTAATAAATCTAAATACTGATTGCATGAAATTGCCAATAAAATCAATACATATTTTTAAGCCAGTCAAGGAAAAAAGAAAAGAGGGAAACTAAAAACAAGACATTAAGTATGAGAAACGAGATAAAACTACAGTGTGGAGGTGATGTTAAACATTATATTCACGTTTGTGCTAATCATTTTGGAAATTTCAATGAGAAATGGGCAATTTTCAGTGAATATGTCATCGTAAATGCTTTAAGGCAAGAGAAAAAATCTGAATAGACCCTGCAATAATGAAAATGTCTAGGAGCCCTCAAGAAATATTTGGTTTAAATTGCATTTCAGGTGGCTGCTTATCAAATCTTGAAGTATCAAATAATTATGTTATCTAAATTGGACCAGGTGTTAGAAACTATGTAAGACTTTACAGATGGCTGCTTATGTAGCCCTTATACCTTAATCTGATAAAATAGCTTATATTTAAAAAGAGAGAAAACCAGAAAGTACAATTCAGGGAAAATTAATTTTTTTCCGTTTGGCCAAAGTAAGAGTACATTCAAGGGAATTGTGAGAGGAAAGAGTGGAAAAAGAGGTTGGAGTTATATTTTTATGCTGTGATTAAATTATAGTGTGTGATAAATTGCTCTTGTTTGGGTAGAATACCATTTAACATTTTGGATTAATTGGCAACTGGATTAACCTTAATTAAAAAAACATCTGAAAGTGGTATAAAGGATGGATTACAGAATGGATAAAGGGTAATAAATCAGTTGGCTATGGCAAAATTGCAGGAAGAAACTGAAAGAGGCCACAGAAAACCGAAGCTGACGTTTTGAGTAGTATTTTGAAATCAAAATCTGGATTTTGTCAACTGAATAGATGTGTAGGAATCAAAGATGAGTAGACTAAATGAACTTAATCTTGATTTGTCTCTCATTTTAGTTTGTAACGTTAGAGTGTATGCATGTATGTGCCAGGTAGTTAATATGCTGTGTCTCTTACCTCCATTCTGCTGCCTGGGCTTTTGCCATAGTGCTGGAGTTCCCTCACTTCTCTTTTCTGTAGCCCTGTTATATCACAGCTGTCTTTCAGCTATGTTTCCTTCCTCAAGCAGAAAGAAGATGGCAGGATCATATCGTAGTTGATTAGAAGCTGGGGATGTAGTTGCTGACTAGTGCTGGGATAATATCTACTATATCTGTGCATATAGTAGTTGACTAGTGATAGGATGATACCTAGTTCCATTACATATGAAGATAAATGACCTTACTTCATCTATAAAATGTTTTATCAATAGTACCATTCTTACATGGTTTTATGAGTATTAAATTATGCATTTCTAAAGACATTTAGAGCAATATAAAGAATATGGTATGGGCTCAATAAGCGGTGGTGGTGGTAGTTATTAGAAGGCCTTCTAGTGCTAAGAAAATAGTGAATATCACTGATGGAAATAAGGAAAGTTTTCCACATAAAAAAGCTTCGGTTTTTGGAAATGTGTGTTTTAAGTATTTCTGAGATTACCAGGTAGAAATTCCAGCCAGATGTTGGAATTATGCACTGGCAGTTGGGAGTAAAGTCATATTGAGGGAGATAAGTTTTGGAGTTATTATGTAAAATTGGATAATTAAAGCACTGGAATAGATTGGATTGACAGAGGGGAAAATCTTTTGAGATATGCCTATATTTAGCAACAAGAGAAGAGACAACCAATAAAGGTTGGAAGAAACCGTAAGAGAGTAAGTCCTATGACACAAGCAGGGAAGTTTCAGAATGGGTGGAAAAAAATCAGCCAGGCTCTTCCTGTTCTCCATCATGGTGCAGGATCAAGGTGAAAAGGAGAACCCCATGCAGAAACTTTGCATGTGCAGACTCTGCCTCAACATATTTTTAGGAGAAACTGGAGACAGACTGACTTGAGTAACCAAGGTGTTGGAGCAGCTCACAGATCAGAACCCTTCGTGTTTTCCAAAGCTAGGTGTACTGTTAGATCCTTTGGCAACAGGAGAAATGGAAAGACTGCCGTCTGCTAAACAATTCGAGGAGCCAGGGCAGAAGAAATCCGGGAGAAAGGTCTAAAGGTGCAGGAGTGTGAATTAAGAAAAAATAACTTCTCAGATACTGGGAACTTTGGCTTTGGGATCTAAGAACACATCGATTTGGGTATCAAATATGACCCAAGCATTGGTATCTACAGCCTGGACTTCTGTGTGGTGCTGGATAAGCCAGGTTTCATCATTGCAAATAAGTGCAGGACAGGCTGCACTGGAGCCAAACAGAATCAATAAAGAGGAGGCCATGTGCTGATTCCAGCAGAAGTATGGTGGGATCATCCTTCCTAGCAAATAAATTCTCATTTCTACCCAAGAGGCCAATACAAAGTGTTCAGTGAAATGTTTAAAAAAAAAAAAAAAATCAGCCAGCAGCCAGGATTGGACTGTGAAAACAGCAGAAAATTAGTTGTTGAGAAAGCATTAATGACCATTAAGAAATCAGCCTCAGGTGGGCATGGTGGCCTATACCTGTAATCCCAATACATTGGGAGGCTGAGGCAGATTTCTTGAGTCCAGGAGTTTGAGGGCAGCCTGGGCAACATGACAAAACGCTCATTTCTACTAAGTAAATAGATAACCTTCATTTCACTAAATAAATAAGCAGACAAGCAGGGCTTGGTGTTAATGCTCCTATACTCCCAGCTACTCAGGAGGCTGAGGCAGTTGAACCTGGGAGGCAGAGGTTGCAGTGAACCAAGATTGCACTACTGCATTGCACTGCAGCCTGGGTGACAAAGTAAGACTATGGCACCCCTCTACCCTCCAAAAAGAAATCAGCCTCATAATAACCAGTTTCTCTGGATTAAGGAGTAAGAGCTTCTCAAGAATTGCTATTTATAGAGAGGGAGGCTGATAGTTTGAGAGAGATACAGAATCTAGGGAGAGTGTGGGTTTTTGGTCTTTCAGTTTTTTGTCAGCTCTGGATGAAGAATAAAGATTACCTGAGCATATTATTAGAGACAGATGGAGAGAATAAAGGCACATGGCAGATAGGAGATAATTAATAAAGCACTTGCCCACAATAGACCCTCATTGAACAGGAAAAGACATCAAGCATGAAGAGATTTTAAGATGGGAGAAGGGAATTTTGAGTGTTCATGTTGGATGATCTCAGGGTTCCCAGTAAAATAGGAGCTGAATTCATTGAAGATGATGTGTTGGTCAGGATAAAAATTGAGGTTGGGAGAACAAAGTGCTAAAAATCATTGTGGTCAAGAGTTTAATAAATGTATACCCGAAGAGTTATTTAGTGATACGGGTTTGAAATAGGCAAAGGTATAGGAAGGAGGACTGGAAGGAATATTAGGAGGAGCACTAAATGGAATACTTTTGAGGTCCACCTCCTGGTCTGTGAACATAAAGGAGTTGAAAGAGTAATGGCTGACTTTTGAGATGATGGCCAGGAATGTGGTGCTAAGTCAACCTGAAGAATGCTAACTTTAGCTAAAGTTAGAATGTGTTTAAAGTTGTATTTGAGCAAAAAAGGTTAAGGATACAGTTGACTTTGATAATGTGAAAGCTAAGAATGTCAATCCCCTGCACAGTTGAAAATCTGCATATAACTTTTGAGTCCCTAAAAACTTAACTACTAATAGCCCACTGTTGACCAGAAGCCTTACCCATAACATAAACAGTCAATAACACATATTTTGTATATATATTCTTACAATAAACTAGACAAAAGAACATGTATTAAGAAAATCATAAGGAAGAGAAAATACATTTACAGTACTGTACTGTATTTATTGGTACCATATATTTATGTCTTCTGTTTACAAGGTGAAGCATCTGTCTGAAATGGCCAGCAGCTACAGCTGTACATATCTACTGTACATATCAAGCAAGTCAACTTATTCTTGTAATGTCATGACTTTTGTCTACTTCTTGAGACCACTTCCGTCACCACTATTGGCACCTCATATGGGTCTCAGGGTGTTACGGTTTACAGAGTTGCACTAAACACAATGAAAAATACAGAAAGAACCATAAGAGAGATAGCTTTTTATTGCAATATACAATTTACTGGAGAGATGAGCTGCTCATACAGAGATGATTAGTGTCACACAGTGCTTTAAACAGATTCTTGCAACCCTTGAGCTCATTGCAGTAGCCACAGAAGGTAGCTATGAGATTTTAACAGTAGTACAGTATGTACTACAGTTAATATTATATAGCTGTGATTTAATGCTGCATCTTTGCATTTGTTTACATGGTATCGTGTCTGGTCTTAAAAGTTTATATGCATATGTTTTAATGCATTTTAACTTTTTATAATAGACTTGTATATATCTTATGATAGTAAGTGATAAAACAGACTGATAATCTACTTATATTTTGCATATTCATGACATAGACCTAACTTTTTCTTAATTTTTTAAATATTTCTAGGCTATGTGTTTCATGTGCAGGTTTTTTCAAATTGTTGCAAATCTCTGAAAAATTATTTTAAAAAATCCATATATATATATATATATATATATATATATATGTATATAGACCCACACATTTCAAAACTGTGTTGTTCAAGGGTCAGCTGTATAAATAATTTTCTTCACAATTAAAGTGAAAAAGGAGAGATACTACTAGTAGAAAGTAGAACTATACCCTCAGAGTGTGTGTGTGTGTGTGTGTGTGTATGTGTACACACACCTACATATATAGTTACAGATAAATTTAACTTAAAAGTTCGTGGTTAGAGAATAAAACTGGCCCTTGATAGTCTTAATTTACATAAAAAATGAAAAATTTAGGCCAGGCACAGTGGCTCATGCCTGTAATCCCAGCACTTTGGGAGGCCAAGACGAGCAGATTACTTGAGGTCAAAAGTTCAAGACCAGCCTGGCCAACATGGTGAAGCCCCATCTCTACTAAAAATTAGCCAGATGTAGTGGCACATGCTTGTAATCCCAGCTTCTCAAGAAGCTGAGGCAGGAGAATTGTTTGAACCTGGGAGGTGGAGGTTGCAGTGAGTTGAGATTGTGCTGCTGCACTCCAGACTGAGTGACAGAGTGAGACTCCGTCTCAAACCACCCCACCTCCAAAAAAAGAAAAATTTGAAAACATAGAGTATGTTTTAATCTCCAAGAGCTTTAAAATTCAGCCCTTAATTCATATGTATAAGCTTCTTCTGTAAAATTTTAATTCAGTATGGACTTTCCACTCATTTGAAATCCTGTATTGCAGATATTAATTCAGTTTTAGTGAGTTTGCATCATGGCTTAGAATGAGAAGGTCACATTGGAGACTCTGGAACAGATGCATGTGAGCCTCCCAACTTTTTAATTTTTGTTAATCTAGAAGTGTTGAATTTCTGGTGCTGACAAGGCAGCAGGTAGATAAAAATTGCAAAGTTAAGAAATAGACGGCCGGGCGCGGTGGCTCAAGCCTGTAATCCCAGCACTTTGGGAGGCCGAGGCGGGTGGATCACGAGGTCAAGAGATCAAGACCATCCTGGTCAACATGGTGAA